TCTGCTGAAAAATAACAGACATCTACATAATGCCAATAATATTGGTCTTCTGATGGTCAGCTCAGTGGCCTATAGTTTTCAATAGAACATGCCTTTATGTATTGTTTTCCTAACAATATTGTTACTATAGAATACAAGACAGTGCACTGGTGAGAAGGAAGGAGATAGAGAAGGGATAAGAGAGAGGAAATAGAGGCCACAGCTGAGGGAGCTGCAAAATGCTTGATGCTCTTGGGCTTTTTGTCCACAATTGATAAAACCATGTAAATTGTTGTGAGCTGTGCAGCTCCAGCCAGTATTCAGTTGAGATGATTAAAAAATGTGAGCAAAACAATCATATGCTAAATATTGGAGGCACCAGGACCAGACTTTGTTACAAATCTTGGGCAGATGACATAATTTGGGCACAATATACATCTCTCACAGCCAAGCAAGTTAGCCCATGAGAACAGAATATCCAGACAAAGGGAAACCTTGAGAGTTATATGAAATTCTTTTCTCACCAAACAATGGGATTACATCCAGCTTGGTCTGTGGAGAACACAGCCAAGGCATTTACCTTTCTTTGAGTATCTTAATATAATTATGGAATAAGAGTATGAGAGTGGGCAAAGAAAACTTTATTATAGAGAATTAAATATTGTGGGATTACTAGACAGAAAAAAGGCATAAGATCATAGAGATTTCCTGAGATGCATCCCTGGGGGACCAAAGGAAGCCAAGGATAGGCTGGGAAGAAAAAGAAAGACCAACAAAAAAAGGAAAGGAGGGAAAATTTTTAAAGCAAGAAAAGCTTGTAGAGAGAAAGAATGGAAATAGGAAAAAAAAATGAGAGGAGAGGAAAGGAAATGCAGGAGGTGGACATGGAAGCCTGTTCTCCATCCTCTTATTGTTGGCGTGCGTCAGCATGCTGAGGTCTTGGCAGATCTGACCATCACGGCCTCTGCTTTCTCTTCTTTCTCACTTTTTGCCATGCTGGGATGTGGAAAGAAACAACTGACAGAGATGCCTCCACAATGGGAGGGATGTGCACCTTCACTTTCTGTCCCACCAAGACAGCATAAAGTGGGGTCCCTCAAAGGGAAATCAGGGTACTGTTAGAATGTGAACATGATGTTTGACAACCAAACTACAACCAACATCCACAGTGTCTTGGCTCTCTGAGCTAGTCTTGCCTTGCACTGAGTTCTGACCTCTCACAACTTAAAGAAGAGGAGCTGAGAAGCAAAGATGCTAAAAAGAGGAGGAAAAAAGATATATTCAATGTTTCATAAATGATGACAAAAGGTTTTCTCTAACCTTGGATCAGAAGTATAAACAAAACCTCAACATAGCTTTCCTATGCTGTGAGTCTGTGCCAACAATAAAATCTCTAGATTAATTAAACTCTGACCTCAACATATCCATTAAAAATGTAAAAACAATTGTCTTATCTTCCTTTGAAAATGAGTTCTACCTTCTGTCATTTTTATAGACTTTATATTTATGTTTTCTTCATGTTTTATGCTGCCCTCCCCACTTCAAAAATCAGCTATCCTAAATTTTATCCTCTGGAAACAAATTGATGCTTTTCTATGCCGTTTCCTAAAAGACAAGAGGCTGGTCTTTTTTTTTTTTTTTTCTTTTTCTTTTGTTTCATGATCTGTTGCATTCTTAACTTTTCTTAATCTTGGGAAATTTTTTCAGTGTTTTTTTCTTCATGAAAATGCTATTCAGCTCTCTCAGTACCTGTCCTATTATTGTGTTTTGCATTTAAAATTATACATCATTATTGTGAATGCATTTACACATGAATAAATGGCAAATACTTGCAGATGCACATTTGCAGACACATATATTCAATATTACCTTATATATAAATTGTATCAGACTCTATGTTAAGTGGATGGTTGTTAGCAAGTCGAGATAGAGCTCTAGGACTAGATTTTACAACTTAAGCATAGTTGCTATATACTGACAAAGACTGATGTCTAGAAATGTTAAGTGAAAAAAATAAGCTACAGATTTCAAATAAAAAGCTTAGTTTATTATATCTCAAATAAGAAATGGTACAATTAATTCACCTAAACTATTGACACAGTTTCACTGTCTTAATGGTAGCTTGTGTGTGTCAGCAGCAAGAAGCCTGCAGAGTGAGTGGCAATAAAAAGGCAAAAGGCATTTTCTGCAGCTTACTGAGGATTGAATGTTGTTCCTTGCAAAAAGTGGTCCAAAGCCTGGAAGAAGCAGCAGTCAGTTGGTGCAAAGTTGGTGGATGACAGAGCATTTCCGAGTCACACCTCTGTTGTTTGTGTGATATGTGATTGAGCTTCGTCTTGCAAGAGGATTGGCTTGCCTCTATTGATCAATATCCACTGCTAAATTGCAAACATCCCCCTCATTTTATCCAATCGGTTACAGCAGACATCACTGTAATTGATTGATCAGGCTTCATGAAGCTATAGTGGATAAAACCAGCACTGGACCAGCAGATAACATTAGCTGTTTTTTGATGAACACTTGGTTTGGGGCTGTGTTTTGGCACTTCTTCTTTATCCAACCTTTGTGCCAAATGTTTGCAGTTGTCAAAAATAATCCATTGATTATCACTTGTAACAATACGGTGTAGAAATGGTTCACCTTTATGTCATGATAGCAAAGAAAGGCAAGCTTTTTGAGATGATTTCTCTTCTGACACTCACTTAATTCACATGGAATCCATCTATACAGCTTCTTTGCTGATTTGTTTCATGTGGTCCAATATTGTTGGAATAGTAACTCCAAATCTTGTTGCTAATTCATGCAGGGATGGATTCGCTTCTACAGCATTCAGTTTATCATCTTTCACTTTGGTCTCAGGTTGTTCACATGGCTCATTTTCAAGATTAAAATCACCAGAATGGAATTTCTCAAACCATTAAGGGTACTATGCATTCATAAGCCAAATCTTTTTCAAACACTTTGCTGATATTTCAAGCTGTCTGCACTGCATTGATTCCATGACAAAACTTATATTCAAAAGAAACACAAATTTTTGACTTATCAATGGCTTTACAGAAATTTCTCTTAAAAAAAATTTTTTTTTTTGAGACAGAGCCTCAAGCTGTCCCCCTGGGTAGTGCTGTGGCATCACAGCTCACAGCAACCTCCAACTCCTGGGCTCAAGCAAGTCTCCTGCCTCAGCCCCCCAAGTAGCTGGAAACACAGGCACCTGCCACAACGCCTGGCTATTTTTTTGGTTGCAGCCATCATTGTTGTTTGATGGGCCCGGGCTGGATTTGAACCCGCCACTTTAGGTGTATATGGCTGGCGCCTTAGCTACTTGAGCCACAGGCACCGAGCCTCTCTTAAAATTTTTGAAAGATAATCACAAGGCAAAAGAATGAGGCCGTGCCATCACAATAAAAATAAAATAAAAAGTGTCAAAGTCAAATGTTAGAGATATCAACTGTCAAACTTGGTACTTAAGGAAATTGGATATTTCATACCCAATAACCTACTCTGATCCCACTTCATAAGGACCATGATTCTACTGAACTTTAAAAAAAACACATAGCTACCCACATGTGTTGGGTTATAATTGGTTTTATATGATAACTAATCCAGAAATCTTGGTAACTAAACACAAAGATAGATTTTCCTCATGATGCATATATAACACACACACACAGGGTGAGAGATTTTCCTCATGATGCATATATAACACACACAGTCTCTCAGGGACACAGGCTTCCATCATTGTGGATCTGCACCACTTAGAACATGGAGCTGCCTCAGTCTTTGCAACAAAGGAAGAAAGTTCCTGGAGAACTCATTCTTACTATTATGTGCATCAGCCCAGCAAGGACACATGTCACTTCTGCTTGCACTATATGAGCCTAAGCTAGTCTCATGGCCTGTCTGAGCTGCAAGGAAACGGAAAATTCAGAAGAACACATGAGTATCTAGCTAGCAGTATATGTTTCTAATATAAGGAGTATAGATGCAAAATGCAAGTAAAAAGCTCCAGAAGGGAAAAATACATATATTTCAGGGTATCTTTGAGGAGAGAAGTGAGCTTAGGGAAAGAAGAAGAAAAATTCTACTTTTTTAGTATTATATTCACTCTAAGTTTTTGCATTTTTAAAACAAGAATCATGTCTTACATTTGTTATCAAACAACAATGTTTTTAAAACTGCTGATTATTAGTTCTTCTGAGATAATCCAGTTAAAATAAAACTGGTAAATAAGTGGTTAAAAAAGCAATGCCAAATAGTTTCATCAATGGCTCAGCCTCCAGCTTGGGCATAGCTTTCAGGGATCAGCCAGGGCTCTCTGTGATTTAGTGACTGTTGCTTGATCAATGGCTGAAATGATAGAGTGGAGAGCCTGCTGATTAAGTTCACAGATAAAGCTATGTTAACTAAAACTTTGGAAGCCGTGATTAAGATCCAAACCAGCCTGTCAGATGTGAGCTATGGCCGAGTGTGGGGTGTGAGTGTACTTGGGAGTAAAGAATGAATCTCTGAAGGCTGCAAGGGTCAGACAAAAGTACTTCAGTGCCTCTGGATCCGGCATAAATCACAAGCCAGATGGAAGTCTGGAATAAATGGGGTTGCCTTGAGAAATATAGCTGTGCCCAGGCATTGCAAGTGTTAAGAGAAGACAGGAATAGAAGAAAAAAGGATATATTCAGAGCTTTCTGTGTTCAAGATCATCAGATTAAAAAAAAATCACTGAATAGGATGGACTGTGTATCAGGCTATGTGCTCTAGTGGCAAATTAAGTAGAAATGGTCCCCATCTTTATGGAGTTTGTGTTGTAGCTACTATCTTTGGTCTCTAGCTTGACCATTCTTCTAAGTCTTTGCTCTTCAAAGTGTGATCCAGGCGTCAGCAGCAAGACTGTCTGAGGTGCTTATTTTTAATTTTCCAATATTTTATTAGGCAATATTTTCAAACATATTGTATAGGTGAAAGAACTATATAGTAATCAGCCATACAGCCACGACATACATTTCATAATTTTTCTCTTCTTCTTCAGATGTAGGGAATTTGTTCATAGGGAGGACCCATATGAGTTGTGTGCCTCTCATCACAATGACTCCAGATTCCTACTGGGTGTGTTATAAACATAGGAGCCATTTTTCAGGCCCCTGAGCAGACCCCTCTGGGTTCTTATTAGAAATGAAGACTTTGAGGCCCAAGCCCAGACCTATTGAATCAGGATCAGCTTTTCAATAAGGCCCCCCTCAGGTGGTTCATGTTCATGTTCTAATATGGAAAGCACAAGTCTCAGTTGTACCTGCCTCCCTCAATTCACCCACCCTGTTACAGAGAAAGCCTCCTTACTTTGGAATCTCCTCACCTTTGATTTTGTCTAAAGACTGATAGACAAGAGAATTGGAAGAGATAGGACAGCCTAAAGCAGATATGCCTAAGGAAGAGGTGACTAGAGAAGGGAAATGCAAAGAGAAAAGTCCAGGCAGGGGGAGTTTATGGGTGAAGTTCAGGGAGAGGTAGAGACAGTAAGAAGAAATGGAGGGTATTTACAGATAAACACAGAGATGGGGACACGGTGAAGAAGTGTCCGTGTCCATCCATCAGCCATTCTTTGGGAGACTTCTTAAAAGATTTAAATTTCTGTTGAACTATCTTTGGGTATCACAACTGATTTTTTTTTTTTATGTGAAACGAGATGAGATAAGGCTATTGTGAGCCCTGGATTTATATTAGTTATGTATTTACAGGCTTCCCTTTGTCTGTTTTTTAAGTAGGAGGGTGGGGAAGACAATAAAAATTTAAGACAAGTCCCATAATCTGGCAACATGCAGTTCCCATTCTATACGGTTCCAAAAAGGAAGGATTTTTATTCATTATTTTCACCATGTTTCTGTTGACTTTCACAGATCTCTGCACTGAATTTTTTAATGATGTGAAATTAGAGCTGGATCCCCAAGCAGCTATAATGTAGCAGTTACACTAGAGAGGGATGGACCAGAACCAGATAGATCTGAAAGCTGATTTTAGTTTCGTATTTCTATGACTAGTATGAAGAAAAAAAAATTGAAAATAATTTCCAAATTGTAGAACTACAGTAGCAGTAAGAATATTTTACCTTGGCTTTTATCTACAAGAATTGCTTCAGCATCAACAACCATTATTCCTTCTCTGTATGTAACAAAGAACATCGATTTTGGAGCCCAAACGAAGGAAGGTGATAGTGGAAAGGGAAATTCAAAAGCCACTTGGTAGAACATAATGACCTCAGCACTTGTGACTGCTCCATATAGGTTGTACATATTCAAAAAAAACCCCACAAAAACAAAATCCTGAAAAATTTTGAATAGTTATGGAAGATGAAGTGTGCTTTTCCTTGGAAAACAACTCTCATAACATATATTTTAAAAAGAATTTTCCAATGAGGGGTGTGGGGGAATCAGAAAGAAACTATTCCTAGCTTTTTGGCTGTTTTTGGTGTTTGTTCGATTTGAACTCAAGGGTTGAGGATTCTTATGACAACAAAAATAAAGAATTTTGTTTTAATTTAAGCATAGCCTTTGATGCTGCAATGCCTACATGTGGAAACATGCACTCCTGCTCGACTTAGACATATTACCATGTATTCAACTTCAGAATAATTTCGAAGACTTTCAAGGGAGTAGGTGCCCTTTCTCTCCAAGGTGGTATCTAATTAGTCCACAGTATGTGTGAGCAGACACACAGAAGGCAGTGGGAAAAGTGCGAACTTCATCCAAATAAGGTACATGTGCTCAATTATTATAGGATGTACCTCTAGTTCCTGGTGTGGGTGTCACATCTGAATGTGCTTTCTAAAGCCCTTACCGAGGCCACAAGGTTTCAAGTGTTTTGTAGATTATATAATACAAACACAGTGAAGGCAAGAAGTTGTGCTGGGTTGATTTTTGCCCTCAAAACTCTCTAAGTAAATTTCCAAAACACAGCACCACATCTTTTAGTGGACTTCTGAGTCCTCAGGCCATGCTCCACTGTCAGTGTGCTTTTCTGGCTTGGGGTGTCAGTATCTGAACTCTAATTACAGCCAATACACTAATCCTAGGTGCTGATCTCCAATCTCTCAGCTGCCAAATCCATTGCAGAAATTGGCTGAAAGTCAAGGACAGGGAGTTTTAAGAGAAAGTAAAGTGTTGAGAGGTGCAAGATGCTGTCTGTATCTTGCTTAAATGGTTTCTCATGGTTCTTGGGATTAAGGTCAAGATCCGTGGGATGAATTACACAGTCCTGCACAGCCTGGTGGCTCCCTAGCTCCCTTGCTTCTGTGACACATTTCCCCCTAGCTTGCTATTCCTCAACCATACTGGCTTTTTCCCCATCACAGGGCCTGTGCTCAGGTCACTGCCCCTTGCCCTGCCTTTCTACCTCTCTCCTCCCTTCATCCATCAGCTCACAGTGTAATGTCAAGGCCTCAAGAGAAACCCACCTTCAAACCTTCAGCATTCAAACTAGATGTTTTGTTTCCTCTGTTATATGATCCCAGAGGACCCTCAAATTTCCATGAGAACATATATCACTATTGCAAATTTATGCATTTTTATTGCCTCTTTTCCTAGGTACTAAGCTCCATGTATCTAGTACTGTCTGGCTCATAGAGACCCCATAAATATTTGTTAACTAAATGAACAAATAAGATGGAGGAGAGATACTAGTCAGGTAGTCCCATTAGCCACCTGAATACTTCCATGTGTATCTGTCAGAGTCCCTTTTGCCAATATTGAAATTTCTTTTTTTCTGACTTTGTCTCCCCCATTTAGTCATATGACCTTCAGGGTCTTCATCAGAGCCTGGCATACATACAGTAGCTCAAAGATAAACTGTTTGGAAAAGAGCAGGAGGAAGACACAGAGACAGAAGATGAATGATAAGAAGGGAGGAGGAAAAGGAGTGATAAGGCAGTGAGAGAAAAAGAAAACAATCAGGTGGGGTTAGCAAGTCCGTTAAACAAGTCAGATAAAAGACAAAGAAAATTCCTCATTATAACCTTTCTTTGGAGGAAGAAAAGACTTCTGCAACCTTTTTGGAGTGCATGCCAAACAAATGGGCATGCAGACAGCATATTATAAATAATGCTGATTAAAAATTGTTTTTATAAAAACAAACAGAACATTGAAATTCCTGCTGGCAAGACTCAAACTATTAATAACTTTGATTTCAGGTTCATACTTTTGGGGAGGGAAGAATGGAAGACTTCAGAGGGCATTTAAAACCATTAGAAGCCAGTGTATTACCACTGGCATTAACAATCCTTGGGAAAATTCACAATGTCACTTGCTTTGAACAATATGAGGACCAGCTGTAGTAGATGGTGAAGATTGACGACTACTGATTGTTCACATGGAAAACTCAGACTTGTTGAAGAGGACTTCTTAGGCAGCACACCAGATTGTTAAGCTGAATTATTGGCCCATTTTAATTGACAGTGTGAAAAGACATTGCACTTTGCAAAATGGCTAAGTAGCATCTTGCACCATAGTGCCAGAGATTTCAACTGTATGGTATGGACATTTTATGGTCAATGGTCTGTGTTTGTATAATATGTGGTCAAAAGCATTTGGCTATACAGTATTCAATAAATGGTCCATATCAGAAAGTATTTTATTATCTTGTACTTTCTATACTTTTTATAATACTTCTATTTCAGTTCTTAAAGAAAATGTATGTGTTCACTTACTCTTCTAAAAGGAGACGAGTATTACTAATGTGTCTTAACTCCTTGAGTTCTTTCTTTTTTTCTAATTACTCCTAAGCCATATGCTTTTGTTGACAATCTTGTGCTTTGGAGAGTAAAAAATGGAAACCTGATAAAAGTTTTTCTTAGGAAGTATTCTGTTCACTTTCAAAAAAAAAAGTAGGAATATCTTGGTTGAAAGAGTCTCTTAAGTCAAGCCAAATAACTTTCTGACATACTTAAATTTTTACCCCGAACAGGAAAGAGCTAAACTCTTCATATATTAGATGAGGCCAATGGGCTAGATTTGGAAATGATTCTGAAAGAGGCCACATTTATATCCTGGGTCAGAAGAAATGACACCTGTCACAGAAGCAGACAATTATGAATCAACCAAGAGTCTTCCCTTTCCATCACAGTCCAGCCTAACACCTACTTCCATTAATTTTATTTCCAAAGGACATTTTCTATCTGCCCATTTTCTACTACCTGAGCTACTACAGTGGTTTCTTACATCAGCTTCTGGTTCTCCACATGGCAATCTGAGTAAACTTTTAAAACCACCATTTGATGAGCTCAGAATATCTGGTGTACATGATTGTAACTAAAGTTGATAATGTACTGCACATTTTTAAACTGCGGAGAGAGTAGATCAGATCTGTTCTCACAACCAAAAATATGCATGTGATGGAGATGTTAACTAGCTTGATTTAACCATTCTACATTGTATACATTACCTGTATACCTGCAAGCTAATCGATTTTGTTAATGGTACTTTAGTTTTTAAAAAAATAAAAGAGAAACTTTCCCCCAAAACCAAATGAAAACAAACCAAAACAAAAGCTACACATGTGATCATCCTTGTGCATAAAGCCTTCATAAAGCAAGACTCCTTACCCTTATTCTAAAATGCCTTGCCATTCTATACAAATTCATCTTTTATTAATCTGCATGGTCTGCCTGATATATATTTTTATCATAAAATTTAGGGTTCAGTAACACCAATGCACATTGTCATCATGAGTCACTCACCTCGTAAGTTCGGCTCTCGTAGGGAATTCTACAGCATGGAAACGAGCACAGTGGTGTCCTTACATCTTGTTACTGGTTGCCACATAATATAGGTTATGTGGGCCTTTTTAAATCAAATTATAATTATATTATCTAATGATAAGTAAATTAACTCTACCAAAATGAACAATGGACCAAGTAAATTAACACCTACCAAGAAACTCCTGTTTGAAGAAAGTACAGAAAAGAAAACACAAGGAACCACAAGAAAAATGCAAAATACTCGATCTAAGTTGACACTTTCATGTTAAAAACAAGGATGACTCAATCAGATTTGCTATGACAACACAAAGGAAGAAAAAGTAATTATCAAGAAAAGCATTTGACCTTATTTTTATGTTTACTATTGTTAATGATGATCCTTACCCTCTATATATAGAACCTTAAGATA